CCAGGATCCTGTTCGTGGACTTCAGCTCTGCATTTAACACCATCCTCCCTGCTCTGCTCCAAGACAAGCTCTCCCTGCTCCATGTACCTGACTCCACCTGCAGGTGGATCACAGACTTCCTGACAGACCGGAGTCAGTGCGTGCGGCTGGGGAGAGCTGTCTCGGACACTCGGACTGTAAGCACAGGATCTCCACAGGGCTGTGTGCTTTCCCCCCTGCTTTTCTCCCTGTACACCAACTGCTGCACCTCCAGCCATGACTCTGTGAAACTTATTAAGTTTGCAGATGACACCACCCTCATCGGGCTCATCTTGGACGGTGATGAGTCTGCATACAGGAGGGAGGTGGACCGGCTGGTGACCTGGTGCAGCAGCAACAACCTGGAACTCAATGCCCAGAAGACAGTGGAGATGATTGTGGATTTCAGGAAAGCCACAGCCCCTCTGCCCCCCCTCACCTGTAATGATACCCCCATCACCACTGCAAACTCTTATCGGTTCCTCTGCACCACCATCACCCAGGACCTCAAGTGGGAGCCGACCATCAGCTCCCTCATCAAGAAGGCCCAGCAGAGACTGTACTTCCTGCGACAGCTGAAGAAGGCCAAGCTGCCGGCCAAGCTGATGGTGCTGTTCTACACGGCCATCATGGAGTCCATCCTCAGCTCCTCCATCACGGTGTGGTACGCCGGGGCCACTGCCAGGGACAGACTGAGACTGCAGCGCGTTGTGCGCTCAGCTGAGAAGGTGATCGGCTGCAGCCTTCCATCCCTCCACGACCTGTACGTCTCCAGGACTGTGAGGCGAGCAGGTTGGATCACAGCTGACCCTGCTCACCCTGCACACGGACTGTTTGAACCACTCCCCTCAGGCAGGAGGCTTCGGTCCATTCGGACCAGAAACTCCCGCCATAAGAACAGTTTCTTCCCCTCTGCTGTTGGACTCCTGAACACTCATAATGCTACCTCATAATTTCTGCTTTGGTCACATTACATCTGTTTCATAACTGAATACTCCATCTGTACTGTTTTCTAAGCTTTTTTATTGTTTTCTATTGTATGGGTGTACACATGGTTATGTTATGTTTTTAATTTTACTTTATTTGTGGGTGTACACAGGTCTTATGTCTTATGTAATGTTCTAATTTTTACTTCATTTTTACTTTATTTTTACTTTATTTTACTTTATTACTATTCGCACCTTATGTCGAAGCAAATTCCTAGTTTGTGAACCTCGTTCATTGACATGGCGATAATAAACTGATTCTGATTCTGAACTTGCAGATAAATTTGCTAAAGAAGCTACAAAAAAGATAGAAATGTCCTTATCAGTCTCATACAGCAAATCAGAAATAAAATCTATTGTAAAGGAAAAAAAGAATAATAAATGGCAGGAGGAATGGAACAAGGAGCAGAAAGGGAGACATTTTTATTATATTGAAAAAAGTGTGGGTAGGATGAGGGAAACATGAAGGAGGAGGAGGGAAGAGGATATTTGATCAAGACTTAGATTTGGTCATACATATTTAAATTCAAATTTAAAAAGAATAGAAAACATCCTACAGGAGTTTGTGAATGTGACCAATCACAAGAGAGAGTAGAACATGTATTTATAGATTGTATAAAATATCACAATGTTATTCTTCAAAATCGATTTCATGAGCAAAATCCATCCATCCATCCATCCATTTTCTTCCGCTTATCCGGGGTCGGGTCGCGGGGGTAGCAGCCTAAGTAGGGAGGCCCAGACTTCCCTCTCCCCAGCCACTTGGGCCAGCTCTTCCGGGGGAATCCCGAGGCGTTCCCAGGCCAGCCGAGAAACATAGTCCCTCCAGCGTGTCCTGGGTCTTCCTCTGGGCCTCCTTCCGGTGGGACGTGTCCGGAACACCTCACCAGGGAGGCGTCCAGAAGGCATCCTAAACAGATGCCCAAGCCACCTCAACTGGCTCCTCTCGACGTGGAGAAGCAGCGGCTCTACTCTGAGTCCCTCCCGGATGATCGAGCTTCTCACCCTGTCTCTAAGGGAGAGCCCAGACACCCTGCGGAGAAAACTCATTTCGGACGCTTGTATCCGAGATCTCATTCTTTCGGTCACAACCCAAAGCTCGTGACCATAGATGAGGGTGGGAACGTAGATCGATCGGTAAATTGAGAGCTTCGCCTTTTGACTCAGCTTGCTCTTCACCACGACAGACCTGTACAGCACCCGCTTAACTGCAGACGCTGCACCTATCCGCCTATCAATCTCACGCTCCATTTTTCCCTCATTCGTGAACAAGACCCCAAGATACTTGAACTCCTCCACTTGGGGTAGGACCTCCGCCCTGACCCGGAGAGGGCACTCTACCCTTTTCCGGCTCAAGACCATGGCCTCGGATTTGGAGGAACTGATCTTCATCCCGGCCGCGTCGCACTCGGCTGCGAACCACTCCAGCGAAAGCTGTAGATCACGATCTGATGAAGCCAATAAGACCACATCATCTGCAAAAAGCAGAGACGCAATCCTAAGGCCACCAAAACGGATCCCCTCAACACCTTGGCTGCGCCTAGAAATTCTGTCCATAAAAGTTATGAACAGAATCGGTGACAAAGGGCAACCTTGGCGGAGTCCAACTCTCACCGGGAACAAGCCCGACTTACTGCCGGCGATGCGGACCAGGCTCTGACACCGGTCATACAGGGACTTAACAGCCCGTATCAAAGGGCCCGGTACCCCATACTCCCAGAGTACCCCCACAGGGCCCCCCGAGGGAGACCCTGTAGTTGGAACACACTCTACGGTCCCCCTTTTTGAATAGGGGGACCACCACCCCGGTCTGCCAATCCAGGGGAACTTCCCCCGATGTCCACGCAATATTGCAGAGTCGCGTAAGCCAACACAACCCTACAACATCCAGAGCCTTAAGGAACTCTGGGCGAATCTCATCCACCCCTGGGGCCCTGCCACCGAGGAGCTTTTTAACCACCTCGGTCCCCAGGCTCCGCTTCCTCAGTGGAAGACATGCCGGTGGGATTGAGGAGGTCTTCAAAGTATTCCGCCCACCGACCCACAACATCCCGAGTTGAGGTCAGCAGCACACCACTCCCACTATAAATAGTGTTGGTGGCGTACCGCTTTCCCCCCCTGAGACGCCAGATGGTGGACCAGAATCGTCTCGAAGCCGTGCAGAAGTCGTTCTCCATGGCCTCTCCGAACTCCTCCCATGCCCGAGTTTTTGCCTCAGCAACCACCCGAGCCGCATGTCGCTTGGACTGCTGGTACCCATCAGCTGCTTCCGGGGTCCCACAGGCCAAAAAGGCCCGATAGGACTCCTTCTTCAGCCTGACAGCATCCCTCACCGACGCTGTCCACCATCGGGTTCGAGGGATGCCGTTGCGACAGGCACCGACAACCTTGCGGCCGCAGCTCTGGTAAGCCACATAGACAATAGAGGCACGAAACATGGTCCACTCAGACTCAATGTCCCCCACCTCCCTCGGAACATGTTCAAAGTTCTCCTGGAGGTGGGAGTTGAAACTCCGTCTCACAGGAGACTCTGCCAGACGTTCCCAGCAAACCCTCACAATACGTTTGGGTCTGCCAGGTCTGACCGGCATCCTCCCCCACCATCGGAGCCAACTCACCACCAGGTAGTGATCAGTTGACAGGTCCGCCCCTCTCTTCACACGAGTGTCCAAGACATGTGGCCGCAGATCAGATGAGACGATGACAAAGTCGATCATCGAACTGCGGCCTAGGGTGTCCTGGTGCCAAGAGCACATATGGACACCCTTATGCTTGAACAAGGTGCTCGTTATTGACAATCCATGACGAGCACAGAAGTCTAACAACAGAACACCACTCTGGTTCATATCAGAGGGGCCGTTCCTCCCAACCACACCCATCCAGGTTTCACTGTCATTGCCCACATGAGCATTGAAGTCCCCCAGCAGAACAAGGGAGTCCCCAGAAGGTGCACTTTCCAGTATCCCCTCCAAGGACTCCAGAAAGGGTGGATAATCTGAACTGCCGTTTGGTGCATAAGCACAAACGACAGTCAGAACCCGTCCCCCCACACGTAGGCGGAGGGAGGCCACCCTCTCATTCACTGGGGTGAACCCCAATACACAGGCACCAAGTTGGGGGGCAATAAGTACGCCCATGCCTGCTCGGCGCCTCTCACCAGGGGCAACTCCAGAGTGGAAGAGTGTCCAGCCCCTCTCAAGGAAACTGGTTCCAGAGCCCGAGCCATGCGTAGAGGTGAGTCCGACTATTTCTAGCCGGAACCTCTCAGCCTCACACACCAGCTCAGGCTCCTTCCCCACCAGTGAGGTGACATTCCACGTCCCAATTGCCAGCTTCTGTAGCTGAGGATCAGACCGCCAGGGTCCCCGCCCTCGGCCACCACCCATCCCACATAGCACCCGACCCCTTTGGCCCCTCCCACAGGTGGTGAGCCCTTGGGAAGGGGGACCCACGTCTCCTCTTCGGGCTGTGCCCGGCCGAGCTCCATGGGTAAAAGCCCGGCCACCAGGCGCTCGCCCGCGTGCCCCACCTCCAGGCCTGGCTCCAGAGTGAAGCCCCGGTGACCCACGTCTGGGCAAGGGAACATTAAGTCCATTTATTTTTCTCTTCATCGTGGTCTTTGGGCTGCACTTTGTCTGGTCCCTCACCTTGGACCTTTCTGCCATGGGTGACCCTACTAGGGGCGTAAAGCCCCTGACATCATAGCTCCTAGGATCATTGGGACACTCAAACCCCTCCACCACAGTAAGGTGGCAGCCCAGGGCGGGTTCATGAGCAAAATGTACAATTTAATTTAGTTGAGTTGCTTAAATTCAAATCACATTTTAAATTGGGCCTTTTTTCATTTTCTTGTACAATCAGAACTATTCAGGAGAATATAGGTTAAGGTTTAATTCTGGTTCACACTCCAATACAGAAGGTGGCAGTAATGCACACTAACAAGCTGTTTGCCAACCGCCAAGAAAATCAAGGAAGACGAAGAAGGTAATCACAGTTTTTCCGACTGTCCGTGAAGCCACCACAGGGCCTTGCTCCTCTCACTTCCGGTAAAGCGCAGTCAGCTGTGAGTGAGTGGAGCCGAGTGGCAGAGAAGAAGACCTCAAAATGTCCACGTTTAACAACAAGTTCTCCTCGTACTCGATGACACAGCTCAACGAGTTTCTAGAGGACGACGACAAACTGTCCACCATGGTTCAGGAGCTGGAGGAGGTACGTTGAAGTCCTCACTCCTTGTCTCGGCCAGTGGTTTTTCTGCTCGAGCCTTTTGTTGCACTGCTGAAGATCAGTCTCCACTTTTCATGAGAACTACTTGTCATGTTGAGGAGCAGGTGTCCCGTAACTTCAGCCTGGCCTCCGCCAAGCTGTGTCTCTGTGAGGGCCAGACACGAGCATTTTCAACTTGTTCCTGGTTCATTGTTCTCTACTCCGTGTTTCCAGAACGTCCAAAACGCATCTGTTCCCAGGGTTAATATGTTTAAACACTAATATATGTGTCTGTTCCCAGGGTTAATATGTTTAAACACTAATATCTCTGTTCCTTTCCGCTTTATAAAAATCGTTTTAGAGGAAAAAACAACGTAGTTTGGGCTCAACATGTCGCCACGCCAAACTCCATTCACAAATCGACCAATTTAAGGAGGACTTTTCTGTTCGGACCGCGGAAAACATGTCGCTTCCTCTTTTGTCACATACGGTTTGTTCACAGCCACAACAGTACGATGTGATGACAACACTTTTTAATTCCATATGAACGTGGATTTATTCCTCAAATGGCAGCAGAAGTAGATGGATCTGGTAAACTCCTTTAATGTAGTCTTTCAGAGCTGGCCTGACTCCTGGAGCTCAGACTCACAGGTTTCCCATTAATGTGCAACTGGTTTACAGCCATGATGAAGATGAACAAGCTGGGCCCTGTTGTCCATAAGCAGCTGACAAGTCTCACTTTTTCCACTCGATAACCGGCTTTGAGCCACAAACATGTTGGCATTCTCAGTATTTGCATTTGTGATAAACTTTCACAAAGTCTTTCATTTGCTTTCAGTGGCAGGTAATGATGTTTGTCTGTTCTGTTAGTAAAACATTTTACCAAAGTAGTGAAGTTACCTGGAACAACGAAGCTTCAAACTCGACAGGGTAGTTATGGTGAAGCAGTGGGCCGGAGCTTGCTTCATGTGACGTCACCAATGACGTGTGAACCGCTTCACTTTACATCCCGTTCTACACATATTATACGTTATGAACAGCTCTTGTTTTTATATTCAGACAGTGGTTCATTTGAGCTGGACCCTGTCAGAACAAGATCCTGGAACTCTTATCATTTTGACCGCTCTGATCCACCAACTCCGAACCCTAAAAGTCCAAAGTCATTGCGCATTTTTATTTTGAATATTAAAAGTACAAGGAGTGGATGTTGTGGCCGCGCCACGCTCCTGCCAGCAGAGACACGGACTGCATGTCTTCATCCTCCTCCAGCTGTGCGCCCTGAGACAGATGTTTTACGCACAGCGTCTCCACACAGCTCTGCAGGACGCGCGCACAACTGCTGTGTCAGAACTCCTGCATACATTACAGTGCACAACATTTCAGATGTAATAAATAAGCTTACAGTAAAAAAACGAGTGAAATGTTTGATGTGTATTACATCAAGTATCAAAACAACGGCACCGATTAGTCAAAATAACAGCGACCAAAATGTTGAAAAGACAATTTATCTAAAATAAATGGATGGATGGCAGTGAGACTGGAGCAGAACGCACAGGACTGAATTCAGCTGAGAAGAGTTCAGGTTGGCTGTGTGTGTGTGGGGGGGGAGGATGGGGGGGTTAGGATGCCTGACAGACTGTTAAGGATGTGCATTCAGACACAAGCTTGTTAATTGTTGCTCACTAAGGAGTGTCATAACTTTCTCATGGTAGTGATTTTGAACCAGAAAGACTATCATGAGAAAGTTATGACACTCCTTAGTGACTTAAACACTTATGAACCTCTGAAAAGAGATCCAGGAAGTGGCTACAAGAAGAAGTTAATAGATTGCCTGAAAAATTTGGAGCAGGACAAGGCTATTGACCGTTTTCTGTACCACAGACTGTACCCAGGGGAGGCCACACCTAGTCTGTATGGTTGACATAAAATCCACAAACAAGGTGTACCTTTAAGACCTTTTGTTAGCATGATTAACTCTGTCACTTACAATGTTTCCAAATATCTGGCGTCTGTACTCATCCCTTTAGTTGGCAGCTCAGAACACCACATACAGAACACCATGGACTTTGTGGACAAGGTGAGGGATGTCATCATGGAGACTGATGAAACAATGGTCTCTTTTGATGTCACATCACTCTTTACGTGCATTCCTGTTGATGATGCAGTAGAGGTGGTCAGTTTAAGATTAAAATCAGACACCACTCTGAGCAGCAGGACCACGCTTTCCACAGAACAACTGTGTCAACTCTTGAAACTGTGCCTGCAGTCAACCTACTTCACATATGGGGAGCAATATTATAGGCAGAAACATGGGTGTGCTATGGGGTCTCCAGTTTCTCCTATTG